GAGTTCCCATTAGTTTGGGGCAGCTGTCTCTGTGGTTTTTCTCATCATGATCCTGACCCCCCTTGCTTCTATAATCCTTCTTCTCTCTTGCTTCAACTGAACACACAGAGGCTTATTCTTTCTTATAAATGCCTGGCCTTAGCTTGGCTTGTTTCTTGTCAGCTTTTCTTAACCTGAATTATCCCATCTATCTTTTGCCTTTGGGATTTTTCCTTTTCTTACTTCTGTAAATCTTATTTTCATTCTTACTCTGTGGCTGGCTGGGTGGCTATCCCCTTGTGTCCTCCTCTCCTCTCTCACTCTTTTCTTTCTTTTCCCAAATTTCCCCTCCTATTTATGCTCTCTGCCTGCTAGTCCTGCCTATTTCTCTCTCCTGCCTTGCCATTGGCTGTTCAGCTCTTTTTTAGAGCATCAGGTGTTTTAGACAGCCAAGGTATCACAGCTTCACAGAGTTAAACAAATGCAACATAAACAAAAGTGACACACCTTCAAATAATATTCTACAACAATTTTGGCTCCAAAGCACTTACATCAAGTGTTTTCTGAAATGTTACTATTTTAGTGTGTGTTGTGGATCTCTAATGTGGATACTATGTCAAGTTATTAAATACCGTGTTCAGATTTCATTTACTATGAAATTTTGCTCGTGACACCTGTTACCATCTTCTAAGGTAGATCTTTTATTAGAACAATATGGTAAATTCTAGATGACTGTGTCAAATGTTAAAGAAGTTTCCTGTTTTGGCTAAGAGTTAAATGCTATTAGCTACACAATTATGTCTTACATCCAGGTTTCTGCCTCTTTGTTGTAGGTGTTTCATCGGATTCAGATTTTTATGTTTGTCTCTGTGTTTTCTATAGCCTTCCCCCCCACATCCTAATGAACCTACTTTTTGACTAATGTTATATTATTCACCAAATAATTCTACCTCAAATAACATTAGTTAACTTCTTATTGAGGACCTTGGGCCTTTTCTAAGGTACTTAAGCTCAAGGGTATGAGTGTTGAGACACTTACAAGTTATTGCATATTACTTCTAAGATCTTGGCTTGGCTTTAAACAGAGAAGTTGAGTGGACTCAGGTCCAGCTATAAGAGAGAAGAATACAAAGAAGGAGAATTAAAAAGGGAGATGCAGAAAATCACCCAGTACCAGCAGAATTAATTTTACCTCCATTTCAAAGAGAAGTGGTTGCTAGTGAAAATACAAACATTGTGGACCGATTACTGATGATATTGGAACAGAATGGGTTCTTGTGAAGAAATATAAGCCACTGAAAGCTCGGGAAGCCTGGTCATTAAAATACATTTGAAAAGGCTCACAAGTACTAGAAGCATTTGGCTTGTAACATCTGATGCTTCTTCTTTTTGATATATGCAATGAGTCTTGATTCTGCCAAGTGTTTACAAGACTGAGCCAGACACTTTAGCTTTAGGCCATTAAATCTCCATCTGCAGTATGAAGAGACTGACTAAATAAACCCTAATTCTGGATACTAGATGGGAGTAATTAGAACTATGGTCTGGACTAGGGAGTCAGTAAACTTTTGAGGTCAAAGGCATGACAGTAATAGATAGCAATTAGTATAGGTTTTACAGGTCCTGTGTACTTCGTTGCAGTTTCTCAATTTGTCCTTTGTATCTTACAATAATCACAGAGAATACAATCCTCTCCCCTTATCTGTGTTGGATATGTTCTAAGACAACTAGTAGATGTCCCAGCCATGGATAATAATAACAGAGAGAGAGAGAGAGAGAGAGAGAGAGAGAGAGAGAGAGAGAGATTTCCTTACATATTCATACTCTTAATAAAGTTTAATTTATAAATTAGACACAGTAAGACATTAAAAAACCAGTAGTTTCTAGAGAAAGGAAAAATATTGAACGGCAAAAAAATAAGAGTACTGTGACTAGTCTTCTGGTAACTGAGAGTACCAAGTACATAAGAGGCAGATAGCACATATTGTGTGGATACAGTGGCCAAAGGGATGGTTTGTGTTCTGGGAAGGATGGGTAAGGATGCTGTAAGATCTTGTTGTGCTAATCAGAATAGCAAGCTCTTTAAAACTTAGGAATTGCTCATTTCTAGAAGTTTCCATCTATATCCAGACAACAGTGGACAGTGGGTAACCATTGTTACAGAAAGCAAAACTATTGATATCGGGGAAGTACTGTATTTAAGGATTTGGGAATAGAAGTATTCAGATAGCATTTAAATAAAAGTGGGCTATGATTGGCCGGTTCCAAGCTTAGACAATTAGCGTATTGTTGCTACCTTACACATATAGACTTAATGTTATCTCACATGTGACAGTGATTGCTTTTACAGGCACATTAACACCTCCATAGAACCCACAGCCGATACTAGTGTAACTTGTATTTCTATGGCTTCTATAGCATTTACTATGGAAATCCTGTACTTTTTTTTTTTTTATAATTAGTCTTTGTTTTCCTTATTTAAGAGCTCATGCTCCCAGTCACACGGTAGGAAATCCACTCACCCCTTGCAGAAGACTTTAATGCTCATGTTAAAATCACTTCACATCTTGTGCCTTTGTGGATGTGTGAGTTCGGCATGCTTCCATCTGTAAGGAGCAAAATCAAACCAGCAATGATTCAGTCATCAGGATAGTTACTGTTTTCTTAAGAAATCTGGAGCGAGGTAGAAGTTCGGTGAGTCAGTAAGGATCCTGAGTCTTTTCATCCTGCTTCCCATCCTCTCAAGTGTGTTGCCTTTTGTCTTCCAACTTCAAGTCTCATAGGACAAGATGACTACCACCACTTCAAGCTGTATGTCCTTGAACAAGTATCCAAAGCAGAAAGGGAGAGGGAGAATAAAACAACCTCCTCTTTATATCCCTCGTCTTTTATCATCAAATGAAATCTTTATCAGAAACCTTCTAGCAGAATCTCCCTTCTCACTGGGCAGAACTAGGTCACCCACCTCGGCTTCAGATCAGTCACTAGCAAAAAGAAATGAAGTTTCTGTGATGGCCTTAGACCAAGTGTTGACAAACTGTGGATAGTGGAAAAAAACCCCAGCTGGGACCTGTTTTGGAAATAAAGTTTTATTGGGACACAGCCATGCATGTTCATATTTATATCAGCTATGACTGTTTTTGTGCTAGCACAGGAAAGTTGGTCAGTTGTGACAGGATCCTTGCAAAGTGTGACATATTTACTACCTGGCTCTGTACAGAAAGTTTTCCCTCCTCTGACTTAGACTGTCACTCATCCCATGACACCACAAAACCGGGATTCTTGAAACAAGAATAACTTTAGATGACAACCAGCAACGAGATCCCCACTGTACTTATAAGATGGCTTATATGGTTAAGTTAGTGAAAATGTCTACAATTAACCAACAGATGTACTTTTTGAAAACCTTTTTCTACATCCTCAGTTTAGGCTCTTCCCCTCGTCTTTCCACAATTCCACCCAAACCTTAGTAACATCTTAGATCTGTATTTTCTCTCTCTCAATACTTCTTTTGGACTATAAGAACTTAAGCATTCTTCAGACTCCAAGGCTCTGGAGTGAATATAACATAAGATTTGATAACTGAGTAAAATTGTGTTTGTATTTGTGTGTGTGTGTGTGTGTGTGTGTGTGCGCGCGCGCGCGCGCGCGCTCACATGTATTTTTATACACGAGGAGATAAAGTCAACTTCTTGACAAAGCATTCTTCAAATACCATCTCTGTTGTTGTTGTTGTTTTCCAACAGGGTATTTTACTGACCTGGAATTTGCCAGGTAGGGTAGGTTGACCAGTCAACAAGTCCCAGGCATCCTCCTGTCTCTGTGTCCTCAGCACTCAGGTTACAAATGGACACCACTGTGCCTAGCTTTTCTACATGGGTTCTGGGAAGGTTGAACAAGGTCCTTATGCTTGACCAGCAAGGATTTTACTGACTGATCCATCTCTCGAGCCCCCATACTTGTTTGAGACAAGGTTTCACGTACCACAGCCTAACCTCAAATTTCCTATTTAGCTGAGACTGGCCTTGAACTCATGACCCTCCCAGCCTCCACCTTCTTATTGCTAGGATTACAAATGTATGCTACTGCACCTGGTTGAATTTCATTAAAAAATATTCTGTATCATGCACTAAGGCTGCCTCCTGGCCTCATATTGTTCATGTGTCTAACTTCCTTCCCCAACAAGCCACTGGGCCTGGCTGGTCTAGGAGAGATGCAGGAGGGATTTTCTTGTGAGCTGCTTGTGCATTTGGCTTGTGACAAGCTTAAAAGACTAGACTGCTTTTTAGTTTTTGGTTTTTTTTTTTTAATTAAAAAAAATTTTTTTTTATCACCACACAATCTCCTATTCCTTTGGCCTCTAAAAAGCTATAGCTTTTCATTTAGGTGTCACAACAGAGGGGTTTAAAAATAGAGGAACAATGGTCTAGGATATGAAGGGGACTATCTCCCTTTGTTGAACAGCCGTTAGAAGTTAGGTCCAACTTTTCAGGTCTAAGGTTATGGGATGTGTTTAACTCACGGTTTGAGAAAAAATTCAACTGGAGTGAAATTTGCGAGCACAGAATTCTATGAGTTGGGGCTACATGGACCTTCTATGACCCATTTTGCAGGTGATGACCCATTTTGTAGGTGACAAATTCAAAGAAGAAATCATTCAACCGAGCTGATCTCATTGGGCCTCTCTTTCCTCGGATTTATCCCACCGCACAGGGAGGAGGTGGGGGAGAAGAAGAGCTCCAAGGGTCTAATTACAAACCGACCTGCATAAACCCCTAAACCCTTCCGCGTGCTGGCTGGACCCCGTCCCATGACGCTGTGGCAGCTGTCGATTCCCCTGCGGTGTCTCTACCCAGTTGGCTACCCTCCCCCCGGCAGCTGTCACCCCTCTACTCTTACAGGAGAGTGGAAGAGTGTCTTCCTCACTGCTTCTCACAGCTCTGTTTCCGGATCCCGCTGTCAGCCTGCCTCTTGGTTTACAGGCGCGCGGCTGCCAAGGAATCTGGAACCTTGCCTACCGGCTGCATGAAAGTAAGTTTGACGGACACAATCATACGTCTTCCTAAAAAGGTGGCTTCCTCGCTGCTAATAATAGGTTCCGCAGGATGGACTCCAGACGTCGTGACCTTCTCCTGGAGGTGAGGTGGGAGACTGTCAATTGTGGCGTCCCAAGTTTTCCATCTCAATGTTGTCCCCAAGAAAACCGGCCGTCTGGGCAGCAGCTTGACCTCCTGGGAGCCTGGTTATTGTTCTAGCCCACATTTTCCAAGCGAGTTAATACTCTGAGTCATTTCGTCCTTACCTCCAGGCTCTTCTCCATCACTCGGCCCAACATATATATGGATATATTATTTATATAATAAATACTATCAATATATAACATATAAACAATATAATAATGATATATAATGATGTGTATTTATATATTATATGGTGACAATATATTATAACATATATAATATATTAATATTAAGGATATTAATGTGCATACTAAGCCTTGATTTTTATAACACTAAGGCGATAGTTGAATGCATGTCCGCCTGTCCTCTTCCTGTCCACAGTGTCTTAGCCTTAACACATGTTGGCTGACTTGGAACCATGGAGGAGGTACTAAGCAAGACGTGGGTTAGGAAGGCCCAGTACTCGCAACTCTGATATTGTCCTTTATTCATACGCTGGAGTCTTAGCAGATGTGTGCCATGCTTAAGACTGCCCGCTCGTGATAATGGAGAACACAACCATGCAAAAGGCATGGCCAATACTTGAAATAGTACGGATGTTTCACACAGTGTGAGTGCTTCTGACGGCCAGAGAGGGCATAATTCAGATAAAACTGCAGGAATTTGACAGAGAATCTGTGCTTGAGTTATAAATTTGGAAACATTCCCCATAGAGATGACATCTGAAGTTCCGCGTGAGGTATTTTATTTATTTAGTCAACAGAAAACATGGTTAAGTACCAGTGTGGTAGAAACTGTCCTGGGTTCTTACGAAATGTGAAGATATGAGAATGAGGAAATATTTCATGGCTATGGTTTCAGTTCTGCAAGAAGGAAAGCGTTCTGGAGAGGGATGTGTTGATGGTTGCACAACACGAATGTGCTTGGTACCACTGAATTCCATACTTAAGCATGATTTGGATATTGTTTTTTGTTGTGTCACTGTTGAGACAACATTTTGCTATGTACCCCGGGCTGGCCTCAAGCTCATGCATGATCATGCCTTAGCCTCTCAAGTGTTGGGATTAAAGGTGTGTGCTACCATCCTGGGTCACAATAGTACATCGTTTGCATATTACTCATAAAAATTGGAAATAAAACTAAAAAAAAAAAAACGAAGAAGAAGCCAGGCATAGTGGTACAGGTAATCTCAGCAGTGAGAAGAATCAGGAGTTCAAAGTCATCACGAGTTACACAGTGAGATGGAGGCTAGCCTCGGTTATGTGATAACCTGTCTCAAAATAAAACAGAGTAACAAAAACAAATACATCATTTAAACATATGAGCTATAATATACCACCCAACTATAATCTAGTGATAGGCAACATATAATTTGTCTGAACTTTGGAAGGTGACAAGTGCTATCGAAAAAGTACAGAGGAATGAGAGGCACTAGGAATTGGCCTAGTCCAATTTCAAAAATAGTTGGCCACTATTTTTGAAAAGGTTGCCAGAATATGCCTAAGGTATATGAGGCTTGGCTAGAGATGTAGAGATGATGGACATAACCATCTGAGAAAAGCATTTGGAAGCAAGAGAATGGCTAATACTAATGCCTTAAGGTGAGAACACGTCTGTCTGCATATTCACAGAGCAATAAGGAAGTGAGTGTGGCATGCAAAGTGGAGACAGGAGTTTAGGTCACTGTGGTAAGGAAGTCTAGTTTTGTATTTATCACATATACAAATGTATGTTCTTAAGATCATTTGTAGGACTTGGGCTTTTATTCTGAAGAAAATGGGAATCATTACAAGGTATTAAGTAGAGGAATAGATAATGTGACATTTCTTAACAGGATAATTATATGTAGAAGGCATATAATTAAGTAGCAAGAGAAGAGAGGATGCAGGAAGGCCTTCTGGAAGGGTGTTTCATTGGTCTTCCGTAAGAGGTGGTGATGGCTTATATCTGAGTCATGGTAGTAGACATGGTAGGAAATAGACTTTTCATATATTTTAAAAGAGCCAACAGAATTTCTTCCTGAATGACCAGAGGTAGCCGCTAAGAAAGGGGAACCAAAGATGCAGCCACAGTTTTGTCCTGAGTCTCCTCTCACTCGAGAGGTCGAGAGGCACTGAATGGGATTTTTTCAAGGGTAGGGTGATCACAAGTTAGGTTTGGAACATAGTGTGTTAGCTCTGTTATCACAGTTTGTTTTTGTAAGTTGCCCAAGTGAGGGCCATGGAAAGCGTGAGTCAGTCAGTGATAGAGTATCTTCTTGTAGTATTGGCTCAGAATAGGTGTGTCTTTGAGATGTGGAAAGGAAAGAAGAGAGGGAGCCTAAATGACTCATGCTTTTCATGACCGTCATTCTTTCAAGTTAAGAAAATGAACTACGGTGACAATAGAGTCGGGACTATTGAGCTCTTATTATACTCTAGATACGTGACACACTAACTCCTGCCTACCTTTGTAGGTCAAGGAGATGTTAGATTTCAATTAGAGGCTAGTGAGTTTCCTAGCCTCTGCCCACAGCTGAGAACTCAGAAGGATTTCGTAGCTCACAAACACTCCCTTGACATCATATCATTATTCACCTTT